TAAAAAAAAAAAAAACTAACAAAATTCAAAATTATTGAGTAGGTCTGGATAAGAACAGCAAAAAGGAATGCGGGCTTTAATATACCGCTGTCTAAAAATCTAAATTTATGGAAAATGAGAGGCTTTTATACGGGTTTCCACTCAGACATTGACGTTCATTGACGTTTGTGCATCAAACTGGAGCTCTGATGCTTTAACCGGGTTTAGTTTTAGAGGTTTCCAGAGAGAATCAAGCTAACTTAGATCCCTCCTTATTGTTTTCACTGTTATCTTAATTCGACAGCATCCAATGATTCATAAGTCCACTGGAGCCTCTCCTGTTTTTCCAACAGTTTCTTTTTTTGATCTATGTGATGTTTGTACATAAAGTTTTTTTTAAAGAAGTTTTTTGTGCGAGCCTGCACCCGATGATGCTGTTGCACCTTAATTTGCCCCTCTGCAAAACAATAACTATCCAGTTTCTTTTCTATCCTTCTACAAATAAGCTGAGACAAAACTAAATTGCAGGTTTTACAGTAACTTGCACTGGTTAAGCTTAATTGAAAACATGAATGCCGTGGCTAAATTAGTCTTAATTAAATTAGTATTAAACATCGCAAAAGAAGAAGGGGAAAAAAAAGATGACGGCAAAACAAAAGACCAACAAAAACAAATAAAGCGCCATACTACAGATTCACCACGGCATATAAAAGCTCCGCCGCAGGGAAGCTGCTCGACTCGTTCAACAAACAAAGCTGAATGCATTCGAGGAGTCTGAGATTACCGCTGGAATGCACTTCAGAGAGAAAGCGGAATCAAATCCCCCGTTTTAAACAACAAGGCTTTTTCTTTTTCTCTAATCCCACTCTTCCTCCCGTTCTCACTCACCCGTGGTCTATGACCGTCACAGTGTCGTTCGGAGCGAGAGAAAGTTTTCTGGGCTCTGAAAATTCTGTCGTTGCTTGGAACTGTGCCGGCTTAGCCTGGAAAAAAAAAAAAAAACATTACACGTGACGTTCGAGTGTGACCAAAGCAGCATTTCAAGATGCTGACTGGGTTATCTGGTGAAAAGAGACGCGAGTTCGTCGCTGAGGACCGACCTCTGCCAGCATTTTAATGAGATCGGCAAAGCTGGGCCTGTCGGCGGGGTTGACGGCCCAACACTTCCTCATGACGACGTACAGCTCCTGAGGACAGTCTGGCGGCTTCTCCAGTCGCTCACCTTCCTGCTCCACTCGCAACAATATCTGGACCAAAAGAGAGGAGTTAGTCTGCTGCGATACCACGGCACTGAGTCAGAGAGGCGACAAGCGGCGCGCGAAGGGTGGAGGCGCATTCCAAACGTGTCAGCCAGCGAACACGTTTGCCGGCTCTACGAAAACAACAAAACAACACCTTGGATGGTGCTGCAAGCCCGTACCTGTCTGCCTGAGAGACCAAACCAAGGCTCTTCGCAGTAGGTGAACATTTCCCACATGGTGACACCAAACATCCAGACGTCAGAGGCATGGGAAAAGGAGCCGATTCGGAGACTTTCGGGGGCACACCTAGAGAAAAGGGTTGTTGCGGTTGTCATTACACGCACAGTGACTGATTTTAAACGTCCGTTTCTGTTGTTTTAGCAGGTTGTGGCTTACAGCTAAACAACGTCCTAATTGGCTGCCTTACAGCAATTTACGTCCAAAGTCACCACATTGAAAACTGTATGTACATGCACTGTTTGTTCGCTGGTTCATTTGGACTCCCATCAGCCCTTGCCGTAACCATGGCTACGCTTCCGGTACAGGACAGGCACTCGGTGGCTCTCCAGGTTGCTGGCCTTGTTGATAGCACAGATTCTCTGTGTTCTCCAGGTCAGTTTGCTGATTTTTTTTTATTTTTCTAATAGAGACATGTTGGTGCCTCTAACAGTGTGAGCAGACGCCCAGCCCAGCTGGAAAACGAAATCAGCATCTACAAAGTCAGCTAATACGTCAGTGACTGTGAGAGCGTCACGTTAAAGTAGCTTGGAGTTTGTTAGGGGCCCAAGCAAGGTTGGCAGCATCAACGAACTCACTCACTGTCTGGTTACCTGGCAACAACTCGCTCACTCTTTGGTTACTTAGCAACAACCTGTTGCGTAACTTGCACGGCAGAAGTTTAAGGTTTCACCATTGCGCCTCATAACTTCTTAATAAAAATAAAAATGAGTGGAGCGGCTCGAGAGGAAAATGTGAATAAAACAGGAAATGTCATGTCACTCGTTTGGCTGTATCTCAGATGTTTAAAACAAACAAAAAAACAACTAATGAATAATTATCAATATTGACTGCTTGTAATCATCTGCAATTGTGCAGGTTGCTTATATACTTTATAAACACTCAACTTTCCTTTGCTTTCATAAGCTTGATTTCAGCAGTTTGGACGTCAAAAGTCAAAGCGTCCGGTCGACTAACCATGCAAACGGGATCCTCCTGTGTGCTCCCATGATGTAATGGTTCGTCTCCTGACTCAGGCCTCGCATCAGACCGAAATCTCCGATCTTCACCGCCTCCTTGGAGGACAGCAGCACGTTTCTGGCAGCCAAGTCCCTGTGGATGAATCTCCGGGTCTCCAGGTAGTCCATACCTGCCGCAATCTGGGTGGCAAAGAGCCAGAGGCGCAGCAGCGGGTACTCGAACTGCCGCGCCCGCAGGGTGTCGTATAATGAGCCCAGAAAGGCCAGCTCTGTTACCTAAGCATGGGAAAACAAAAAACAGGACAGTGTGAATCACGGCTCTGGAAAACAGGTGGGAATTTTCCGAAATCTGAACTGTCAGCTCACCATCTTGAGGGGCTGCGTGAGGACCACGCCGTAGAGCCGGATGATGTTGGGGTGGTCCAGGGACTGCATGGTGGTGACTTCCTGCAGGAAGTCTGTGAGTGTGTCGGCCTGCGTGGACCTGCTGCTCCTCAGCGATTTGACAGCCACAGGGAGCTGAGGATTCATGAAATACACACAGGTCACACGCAACATCACGCTACCCACTAACGTTCACACGATCAGATCTCCTCCGTGGTCTCTTACCACTCTGCCTGCCGGTGTGTGCCACTCTCCCCTCTTCACCACCCCAAAGGACCCCGAGCCCAACTTCTCTCCCAGAACCAGCTCACTGTCCTGGATCAGACGAGGCGCAGTCCTCTCCTGCGGCTGAACTGGGCCGGACTGTTCCCCTCCGTCTCGACTGTTGAACATCTGTGTGAATCAACGCGGCCATTTAGAAACTCCCCACCACAGTTCGAACGTGAGCAACACTTTGAAATACTAATAATAAAACAAAAGTCCTGCAAAGATTGCTAACAGACCCTGGGAATCCATCCCCGTGAGCGTGAAGCCGTCTTGTAGCGTTTCAGGGCTTCCCATAATCGCCTTTGTGCTGCAAAACAACACAGATAAGGCTGTCAGTGTTGCTAGGTGTGTGGTTGCAGTTCATCTTTGACTCTTTTAGCTTGAGCTCGGTATTTTTGGAAGAGGGACAACATGTTCTGGGGATCACAGTGGCGCCGTACATCTGGGAGCAGACCAACATGAAGACACATCTCCCCTACTGATCAGCATAGGGGCAAAGGTCAGCAGCTTTATCCATAAAAGAAGAGCTATCTGTAAGCTTTCAGCTTCATTCAGCTGTGTTTGTAGTGCTGAGGTTTCATCAGGACAGCCACACTGCCTGCTTGTTGTTAGGAATCTGGAGTACATGAGAAAGTATTTGAAAAAAACAAACAAAAAAAAATTATATAAGCAAAAAAACGAAACCATCTAAGTAGAAAAATATTACATTAAGTATGCATTGTTTCCTTTGGTGTATTATAAGCCTGGCGGGCCACCAGGGTTTTACTTGTTTCCCCACCAGACTTAGCATTGTTAATTTAATTTAATTTTAATTATTGCCTTTTTATTTTTAAAAGACTTTATAGCTTGTGTTCAGGCACTGATCTTCTAGTCTTCCAATAACGTATAACTATCAAGTGATATTTTCAAATTTAATGTCAACTTTAAACATTTTTCAACACAAAAACACAGCGAGCGACTGGATGAATGACTGCTGAGCGCCCCAAGCACCAGGGTTAGCAAGTTTCCTGGGGGAAACCCTGGATATGTAACGTTTCACGGCTTTATAATACAATAGAAAAAAACCTCATAAATATTGATATACACACAAACAAGTGGGTGAATAACTCTCAGTTGATAACAGGCTTATGCCAGTGTGAGATTCATATTTTATGACAACTAAACTAAAATTTAAAACAAGATACATAACATGATCCATGTATATTTATTTCAAAAACATGAGAAGCAATCGTTAACATTGTTGCAACAATAATTTAAGGTCATGATAATTAGCAGGGAGGTTTTGATGTTATTTCAGGCATCAATTCAGAGTCTTTAAAAAAAAAAATCTGTATATTTGTTTGCTGAAGGTGTGCCCCCTCTTAGCCCTGGGCTACTGCTAATCTGACTGGTTTCAAACATTAACATCGCAAATGATGCATAGTTCTCATGCAACATGCTTTGCACTAAACAAGGGAACAGCATGTTGCAGCATTAACTATAAATGTACAACTTTTTGAAGTTTTAAAGTGTTTTATGGACGATATGAACTCAGCTACATCTGAAAATACATCGTTTGCCACACACAATGCCACAGTAGCCATTAAATAAATACTGCCATGTGACAAATATATAGAGGGTAATCAAAATGCACTTTAGTACAATGAGTATTTCAAACTCTCGTTTCTGCAGGTTCTCGAGGAAAGCAAGACATTTTTAGTCATCCTTAAAGACCACGAGTTTCCACCCGGCGTGAAAGCTGAAAGCCCCACCTGGCTTGCTGATTCCGATGTACTCCAGGTCGGACTCCTTGACATAGTTGAAGTGCTCCACGCGGGTAATGTTGAGGCCGTCTCGGACGCGGACGTAGAACTTCTCCAGCTGGACTTCAGCCAGCAGCTGGTGCAGCCACTGAGTGTCCTGGTCCATCAGCATGTCCTGGCCCACACAAGCCTGCAGGCAGGAAGACAGAGGCGTGTAAAAACACTCAAATATTCACACTTCTGGTCATGCGGCTTCTTCCACTGAATCTTCTGCATCACGACCAAAAGCAACTGATTAGAAACCGCGTTTTGTGTCAGCGATTCTCCTCGAAAATCGACCCGGTTTGATTAAACTTCCCCCGAGGTCTCGCTTCGTAACGTTGCCGTGGAAACCTAACAAAAAGCCCTTCATGTGGGGGGAGTAATTTTCAGCTTCAGTCTGAGTACAAAGTCCAAACAGTTTGTCTGGAAGCATAAGAGTGTAACAGTGCACCCTAATAAATGAGAACATGGATTAAACGTGAATTTATTCAATTAATTCCAATGTTATTTTTCCTGTTAATTCTGATTATTCTGCCCAACAGCTAAAGAAAATGTGAAATTCTATTACTTGTAAAGTTTAAATATCACATAAAAACAATCAAAGCAAATTTTTCTAAATGTTGGCTTAATTAAAAGTCTGTCCATGTGCCGTGCGGTGTGTGTACAATCAGTATTTGGTAAAGACCCCTGTGCATGAATTACTGCATCAATGTGGCGCAGAATGGAGGCGAGTTGTCATGGTTGGTTCTGGTGTTTCTCATCTTCCTCTTGACAATATCTGAGAGATTTATTATGGGGTTCAGGTCAGTTTTGTGGGCCATCGGTCCCAGATACGCCATGGTCATTAAACCAGGTGTTGATGTTTTTGGCAGTGATGGTCTTGATAGCCAACACAGCATCACAAATCCCCACTGACAAGACCCTCACACAACTATTTACTTTAATCCAGAAACAATGATTTTAAGCCACTCAGTAACAGCCAAGCACCTTTTCTCCCCCCCTTCGCCAAAGACGCTTCTGATGGTTCCTCTGGTTTGGGAGCAGAGAAAACCACGTCGCCCATGTTGTGAATGTTTCGGTCT